TTTTTTTTTTTTTTTTTTTTGATATTCAGCACATCTCTGGCTGAGGGAGTGTTGAGGGTCTCAGATTACCAGCAGATCCTGGAGATATGTTAAGCCCTTATTCCCTACCTCACAGAAGGTCCTCAGTCCTAGAGAATCATCTGTTACTCTTCGTAGAAGATCAAGAGTCCCGAAGGAACCCTTGATATTTTTATATTGATTAAGCCAGTGATTCTCTGTGATAACCCCTATGTCACTGTTTTCCCCAGCCAAGATTCAAAGATTTCTCATGTAGGGTATGTTGACCTGAGCCAAGCTGTTTGTCCTCTTATCTCTCTGCATGGACCCCTGCAACCTGGGTCCTGTCCATGCCCCAGGTACACAGGGTCTCACCCCAGGCCTTCCACCCACTGGCAGTGCTTGCCTGATTCTGTACCTGATTCAGGGCATTAGGATTCTCTGGGACTGACCACTTGTGACCCACAGTGGACATTAGACATACTGTGCTTACTCTTTTGTTATAGCATTTGTTTCTGTTTGGTGATATGGATAGCAATAAATTACAATGGATAGAGAGTGATACAATATTCTTCGAGAAGGTCAACAAAAGCAGAGACAAAGCTTTGAGAGAAACGACAAGGAAGGATGTAACCATTTTGTATCCACCCCTTGACCTGGAGTCCTGGGCCTGTTGCTCATTTTTCCTTCTAGTGTCTGCTTCTCTTCCCTGTTCCTTGCTCCCTTCTCCTGAACCTACTCCTTCTCTCTGCTCTTGGCACACTTCACTCCCTGTTCTCTGTAGCATCCTCCGCACTTCTGTTTTCCAAAAGTCGAGACCCAGGGCAGGCGATTTTGCACTGCTGTGCCAGGACATCTGTCTTGTGTCTGGCGCTCAGAGGGAACTGGGGCGATTGACCGACTATGTAGGGATTGGGGATGGGGAAGCTGTTGGTGCAGGGCAGGTGGTCCAGGGGAAAGCAGAGCAGGCCTTTATCACAGACAAGTTTAAGGCTGAGTCCTGGTTCCTCTCCCACAAGATAATGGGACCTAATCCTGGGTGAGGCTAGTATATGGCCATGCCTGGGGTGGTGGGGATCGGGGAGCATAGCAGAATCACTGACCTGTGTGCAGTCTCCATGCCTAGTCCTGGACGTGTACTTGGTAGAGGAGGGCCTGGGGCATAGCCATCCCCTAGTGCCTGCCCAGTCTTGAGGGGGAGGGCCTAGTTGGGACAGTAGGCTTTTCCCTGTGTGTGATGGGGCACCCGCTACTGTGTGTGCTTGTACCTGGTGAAAGGTGTCACTGTCAGCACTTAAGTCTTCTTTGTTCTCTGCTATGAGATGGGGGTGCTCTCTTTTCATTGTTTGCATTGTGTTCTTTTATAGCAGAAATCAGTGCTGTTTTGATGATTCTGCTATTCTCTACCATCGCTTGTGAATAGCAAGCATATGATGTTCATTGACATTGTAGTTATTTTTTTATATATTGCAATTAATATTGCTATAAATTTGTAGATTTTCGTATAAAGTAGGATTGTTGTTGTTAGGTGCTGTTGATTCAGTTCCGACTCCTAGCAACCTTACATATAATAGAATGAAATGTTGCCAGGTGCTGCACCATCCTCACGATAGTAGATATGTTTGAGCCCACTGTTGTGCCACTGTGTCAATCCATCTCATTGAGGGTCTTCATCTTTCTCACTGATCCTCTACTTTACCAAGCATGATGTCCTTCTTCAGGGATTGGTCCCTCCCGATAACATGTTCATCTCGCCATCCTTGTTTCTAAGGAGCGCTCTGGCTTTCCTTCTTCCAAGTCCATAGTACATTCAGTACTCTTCTGGCACTCCATGGTATATTCGGTATTCTTCACCAACGCCATAATTCAAATAATCCATGCTATAAAGGAATTTGGTCATCCTTACCTGAAGTATAACTTCATTCATAAAGCTTTGTTAATGATTACTGCAATGCTATTCTTAATGAATAATAAGGATAATAATGTTTGGTATTCAGAATAATGACCGTCTGAAAATGTCTGCATCACAATTGCCTGAACCGCAATTGCCTGAACTTGTTTATATATTACTTTACAAGGCAAAAAAGGAGTTTGTGGATGTACTTAGGGTTATGGGCCTTGAGTTGTAGAGATTATTCTGGATTATCTGGGTGGCCCAACCTTACAATGAGTCCTTAAAAATAGAGAACTTTCCTAGGTGTGGTCAGAGAGAGTTGCAACAACAAAAGAAGGTTTAGAGAGATACTTTGAAGATGGACAGAGGAGGCCAAGAGCAGAGCAATGCAGTCATTCAATACAGTCAAAAAGGAGGACCAGACCAGAATAAAAAAAGTCAGATAATAACAAGTGTTGGTGAGGATATGGAGAAATAGGAACCCTCACACCCTGCTGGTGTGAAAGTAAAATGGTGCACCTATTTCAGAAAACAGCATGGCCGTGCCTCAAACAATTTAACATAGACTTCCATATAGCCCAGTGATTAACCAAGAGAAATGAAAACATATGACCACGCAAAAACTTGTCACAAATGTTTATAGCAGCATTGTTCATAATGGGCCGAAGATGGAAACAGTCCAAATGCCCATCAATGGGTGAATGGATAAAAACAATGTGGTATATACATACAATGGAACATTTTTTAGCCATGAAAAAGAATGATATGCTGATACATTTCACAACTTGACTGAACCTTGAAAACATTATGCTAAGTGAAAGAAGGCAGTCACAAACGAACACATATATGATTCTATGCATATGAAATGTCTAGAACAAGGAAATCTAAAGACTCAAATAGTGGCGGAGGGGAGGGGAGGAATAGAGAGGTGTTATGAATTGAATTGTGTCCCCAAAAAATGTGTGTCAACTTGGCTAGGCCATGATTCCCAGTATTGTGTGGTTGTCCACCATTTTGTGATCTGATGTGATTATCCTATGTGTTGTAAATGCTAACCTATGTGATGTTAGTGAGGTAGGATTAGAGATAGTTACGTTAATGATGCAGGACTCAATCTACAGGATTAGGTTGTATCTTGAGTCAATCTCTTTTGAGATATGCAAGAGAGAATCGAGCAGAGATAAGAGGGACCTGCTACAACCAAGAAAGAAGAACCAGAATATATCTTCTAGCCTCCTAAATTGTGAGACAGTAAATTTCCGTTTGCCAAAATCATCCACTTGTGGTATTTCTGTTATAGTAACACTAGATAACTAACACAAGGGGTAATAGGTAAATAGTATGGGGGTTTCTTTATTAGGTGATAAAAATGTTCTAAAATTGACTGTGGTGATGGTTGCACATGTATGTGAATATACTAAAAACATTGATTCTGCAGTTTAAATGGGTGAGGTATATGGTGTGTGAATTATAGGTCAATACTGTTTAAAAAACAAAACAAACAAAAACATGTATATGTGTACATTTGGAATGTATGCCTAATGGTGTACAATGAGTTGGAAATTGTATCTGACAGGGATAATGAAGGGGATCATTTGCTGTTTATGTGTTGTTTTGATATTTTATAGTAAAATAAGTTCCAATCTGAAAAAAATACAGAAATATATCCCCTAGAGCCTCCATAAAGGAACACAGAACTGTTGATACCTTGATTTTAGCCAGGTGAGACCCATGTTGGACTTCTGACCTAGCAACCTCTGAGATAAAATATCTGTGTTATGTTAAGAGGCTAAGCTTGTGGTTATTTGTTACCACAGCAAGAAAAAAGTAATATGTCATGTGTATGAAGAAAATAATAAAATTAATAGCAACAGCAACATGTATTGAGGAATTCATGTGTACCAGGCTCTGTTCCACGTACTCTTAGTGCTTTAAATTATTTAACACTGTGTTCCTAACAATCTTAGAGGCAAAATAATTGAGCACAATTTCACACTGAGGAATTTGAGAAACAGAGATGATAAATGTCCTTTTCTGAGATATCACAGGCAGAAATGAACATATCCTGACTTGATACTATGGCAG